GCTTGTATCAGCTGGCTATTAAGTCATTGCTTTTATAAAGCTAGCTATGAAGACACAGCTACATGTACCAGCTGGGTATGATATCATTGCTTTTATAAGGCTGGCTATGATCAGGCTGGCTATGAGGTCATGGCTATTATCAGGCTGGCTATGAGGTCATGGCTATTGTCAGGCTGGCTATGAGGTTGTGGCTATTGCTAGGCTGGCTATGAGGTCGTGGCTATTGTCAGGCTGGCTATGAGGTCGTGGCTATTGCCAGGTTGGCTATGAGGTCGTGGCTATGAGGTCGTGGCTATTGTCAGGCTGGCTATGAGGTCGTGGCTGTTGTCTGGCTGGCTATGAGGTCATGGCTGTTGTCTGGCTGGCTATGAGGTCATGGCTATTGCCAGACTGGCTATGAAGTCGTGGCTATTGCCACGCTGGCTATGAGGTCGTGGCTATTGCCAGGCTGGCTATGAGGTCATGGCTATTGTCAGGCTGGCTATGAGGTCGTGGCTATGAGGTCGTGGCTATTGTCAGGCTGGCTATGAGGTCGTGGCTATTGTCAGGCTGGCTATGAGGTCATGGCTATTGTCAGGCTGGCTATGAGGTCATGGCTATTGTCAGGCTGGCTATGAGGTCATGGCTATTGTCAGGCTGGCTATGAGGTCATGGCTATTGTCAGGCTGGCTATGAGGTCATGGCTATTGTCAGGCTGGCTATGAGGTCATGGCTATTGTCAGGCTGGCTATGAGGTCATGGCTATTGTCAGGCTGGCTATGAGGTCATGGCTATTGTCAGGCTGGCTATGAGGTCATGGTCATTACCATACTGGCAATTAAGTCGTGGATATTTTCAGGCTGAAGTCATTGATATTATCAGGCACTCCTTACCTGTCCCCCAGTAGTTGAACTACTTACAGCTGTATCTTGCAGCACAGATGATAATTCTGATGGCACATCAACATTACGCCGTTTAAACAGCTGAAACAAATAATTTCAATAATTTAATCCATGTGAAACAGTTGTAATGAGATAGTACTGGCAACACAGGACATCTGACAATAATGCAACACAGAATAATAACATGGCACAACTACAGCGCGCACACACACACACACACACACACAATATAGTTTATTGATACGCAAGATAGAAATGACAAATACTATTTTTCCCCAAGGATGCATTCCATTGTTGTTGTAAAACTAACAATGCTGTACATACATTTGAGATGTGTAAATCTACACTGATGTTATTTGACCTTGAATTGCAAGGTTCTTAATTTTTATCACAATGCCAAGTATTTTTTTTACTCTTAACAGTATCAGCCACAGCGGCTCTGTGGGTATCAATGTCTTTAACTTTTAATATATGTAAAAATATTCAAATAAACTCATAAAACAAACTAGAGATTTTAATTTTTATATAGTACTTACATTATTTGTAATATTTAATCAATTCAATAAGTTTTCATTATTTTTGAGTCCAGGAAAATATAGAAATTTTGTAAAAGCGAACGTTTTACTGTGTTTCTTAAAATGTGTAGTGTTTGCAAAATTTAAACACGCCCTTTCAGTTTCAGTTTATAACTTGGCGTAAAAGGAAACCTAAAAGCTAAGGTGTTTAAGAGTTACAATGACTGAAATCTGACTTTTTGTTGTTTATCTACTTACTAATTCTTGTCTTTACAACAATAAATTATGTTCAAGAGCATGCTAAATTCACCTAACCTAGGAAATATGTAATTTATATAACAATAACAGGAGTAAAATCAGTGTTCTGCCCAGGATATAAACCGCATGGCAGAACTGACACAGTGCTTTGTTTTACCGCCTAACTGGTCGGATACCAGAACAGTCAATACCCTGACAGCCGGTCACAGAGGTTTTGATAAATTACTGAAAACTTGTATATTGTTGTATCACTCCAGATGCAATAAAAGTTTCATTAGCAAATCATTTTGTGCATTGTGTTATCACAATATCTGTTTAATTATGCACATAATATGCAAATGTTATGCATGTAAATATTTACCATAATGATGGTTTAAATTTTGGGAGAGTGGTCAAGGAGGAAACAACTGAAATCTACTTCGCAGACCAATCATTAGAGAAAATGGTTCCCACCAAACACCATATTTGTTCTGTTAGTAGTGTATGTGATTACATAAATGACAAAATCTAAGTCTACGTCAACATTTTAATTATCCAGCATATGTTTACATACAATAATTGGTTTACACCTGCTTTTACTAGAAATGTGCTTCTAACAGAGCAAAAACAGCATTATTTTTGTGATATTGTTCATCTTCTATCAGCAAACAGAAAATTCCATATTCTAATTTTTGACAACTTACAAAAAAAACTTGAACGCAAATAGATCTACAGAAATGTTTGGTAATTTTTGACTGTTGCACAAACTTTTGACATTGCAAACAATACAACTTTAAGACATGGGGATATTTGTCGTAGTCAAAATGTCTTTGTGAAATTATATACCCATGAAAGCACTGAAATCATCAATTCATGTAAATTCAGTGGTCTCAAACATTACTTACTTGTTCCTCTCTTTTTTGTTTCCTCAGTTGTACGCCTTCTTCTTCTCTTCGCCTTCTCATTTCTTCAGGATTCAATGCTTTATTCTTGTATGATTTTAGCCGCTGATTTTCTTTATTTGGACTCGCCATGATGACAAAATCTTAGAAATAAAAATCAACTGCAGTTATTCAAGTTAAATACAGCACACATGTTTCTAGGATTCAAACAATATAATAACTGTGGATTTATTTTTTTGGAGATATTTCCTCTTTTGCGTGTCAAGAACACACTTACAAATTTAGCAAGCCTTATTTTACATTGTACATGGGACACTGTTTATAACGCAATCTCTCATGATTTTTACACATGGACCATGATCCAAGATAAGCCCCCCCCTTCACATACACGACAGCCAGGGCTTTAACTTCACCATTATTGAGGCAATGAATTTTCTTACAATTTTGAAGGAAATCAAAGACAATCAGGTGGGGAACCTAGCCAATGGTGTGCATGGCCCATTCAGATCCCTGATGTGGTCCTAACTGATATCCCATCCATTATTCACACATGA